TGAATAAAAGAGAAACTACCAATAGAGTAGTAGAGGAAATGAAGCAACATTTCATGCAGGATAAGGGAGAAAAAATGTCAGTTTGTTGTTTTATCAATTTAAACAACCTTTTCCAGTCATGTAATAAAACTATAAGTTGTCAACTACAATTTCAATACATCTCAGCTCTTCTAAATGGTGTACTCCCACCTGCTGGTAATATTAATTAGGAAACATGAGAGCAGAGGCCACTAGCTTAATATATATAAAGCAGGCAATAGGGAAACAATCTGTGTGGAGGTGAACAAAAGAGAACGTTCACAGGACAAAGCAGGATCAAAGGCCTCTCATTGTTTCTGTACAGCATTCTATCAGTAATGACTAACACTTAACTGAGACTTATTCTAACCAACAAAACCATACAGTATTATAACATTTGGAAAATGTACTTTTAAATATTTCAAACATATTCTGTAGTAATATATAATTTAAAACAGATACAATCCAAAACTCATGGCACATTACTGAAGGAAATAAAGTAAAATTAGGCCTCTAAAATTTTAAGCTATAAAGAAGTCTTTTTCCAGTCTAAACGAAAAACTAGAAAACTAGATCACACTCAAAAAAATGTCATCTCACCAGCAGTATCTGCAAGCAAAAATAAATGAAGCTCTCTAAGGTTCCTTCAAAGAAAAACCTCAAAAGAGAAATATTCATGTACTGAAATATTTACACATTCTTTTCTAATAACAAATCCTAATATAATACTGTACAAATAGTAATCAGAACATTAAAGGCTTAAACGTCTTCAAACTTCATGAATTAAACATATATACTGTGAAATTCAAATTAAAAAAGTAAAACCTGTAACCAATCTCATCAGTTCTTTCAGAAGTCACAAACTCAATTCCTGTATGAATTTGTCCAGTAAACATGGGCAGTGATTTCTAAGAATTAAACTACAGTAATCATTTGGCTAACATTGGATATTAACACTGGTAGTGTGTTTTCAAGAAAAAGAGTTTTACTTAAATAAGATAATTTAGCTACATATATATTATATTTAAGTGCCATAAACTCAAACTCCACCAGTATTTCCAGAGTTGGAGAATTTTAAGAAATCCACTACCTATTCATCTGACTTGGTGGCTGTCAGCAGGAAGAATAAATGCCATTCGTTAAGGGCAATGAAGTATACTGAACAGACTTGAGCCCATCAGTCCAATTTTATTCCTATGTTGAGCAGAATGAGATTTAATGTTAGAGAAGAAAAAAACAGGAGAGTTTTTAAGTGAATAAAGGAAGTACAAACTAGCTCTTTAGGACAGAGACCACCTTGTTCAGGAAAGCATCTGGCAAACAGTGGGTGGGAATTAAAAGATGGGAAATCTGCAATCTTAAGCCTCATATTAATTGCTTTCCTAATTGAACCTACACATGACAGTTGACAAGTGAAGTTGAATCGTCCCTCCTTCCCCTAATCCAGGGCCTCTGGAGGGACATAATGGAGAACAAAGAAAGACCTAATCTACAGGGATGTATTATTGACTGCTGTAAAACATAAGGATGATTTATGGGGCCCAAATTGATTAATTCCACTTTGAGTTTCAGAAAAATAGAATTTTCTTAACTTAAAAAAAAGGTATATTCTCACTTTAAAACCTTTTTCTTGCCCTTATTTCTCTCTTCTTCCCCTCCTCCACATTCCATTTCCTCCTTCCTCCCTTGCCAAAAAGAAAAATGTAAACTTCTTTAAATGACTTGTTAAAGTCTAAGATTAAAAATACAATTATTTTCACATAAAGCAAATTTACATAACTGAACAAATGATTTTTGAACAAAAGTGACTTTCAGTCCAAGAAACTAAAATACCAAGACAGTTCCAACAGATTTAAGAGCCAACAATACGATCTCCAAAAATTGCTACTGCTGTCTTCCTTATCTCAAATTATGGGGACTTGCACTCCAGGAATTTTCCTCCTTGGAGCCCTCCCTGCTCCTGAGGTGAAGCTTTTACCGACACTGTTGGTTCTGTCAGATGCCAAATCCATCTGGTCGTGAAGTGGGCAAAACTCCCTGAAGGTCAAGTTGAACCAGTAATACTAGTGACAGGCACTGTGGAGTTGACCTTGAACAAGGATATCTATGCATGTATATGTGTGTTACACTTATAACCATATTGTCACTAAATAGTTCAGTCTGTATATGTTGTAAAATTCAGGAGAGAGCACACGCAACCCTTACCATATCCAACGATGCAGAATTCAATGCCCTCAGACTTTTCTTAAAAATATTTACAGAAGTCCTGAAGCAGAATGCAGTGCAGGAACTTATATATTTAAAACAAACCCAAAGTAATAAAACAAGGCAAGCATTCAGACTTCAGGCATAAAGGTAAATACAGAGGACACTCAGCAAGCTCTAGGCACCAAAGCAGTTTCCTTGCCCTTACGGAATTCTAAGACCTCTCTCTTTTTTTTTTATTAAGGATCATTGCAGCAGAGTCTGTCAAAATTCATTAAGAAATGCAGAGTTATAAAAGATGAATTTACATCAGTTACATAAAGACTTTTGTTTGCCTAATGAACAAGTAAAACAGTCACTTCCCATGTGCTTCTACTATATTCAGTCAATAGAAAATTTTAGTTGTTTTGTTAGTAATGTTCTGGAGATATTTTAGTTAAAAAAAAAAACCTTTGAGTTTTATTAGTAGAAAGATCAGTGGCTAAAATAACTGCTTTTTCACTGATAGTGAACCTTGATTAAACAGAACCAAATATACACTCAAGTCTGTTATACTGAGAATTTAAAAACAAAACAATACCTGAACAATTTCAATATGCTAATGTAAGGTACACATATAATAACCCTTTTGACCTAGAACAGACTTTTCTAGCAAATCTTTTGATTTTTAAATACTGGACAATTTTAGTGAACTGTTAACAAAGCAAACACAAATAGCAAAATATAATACAAAAAAGATCTTCAGGAAGAGCACAGCATGGCTTTCCACCTAAATGGGACTTTGTCACCTAGGTCAAAGTTAGAGCCCTCATCCACCTTTGCACTTAAAAGGGCAACTTCCAGAGAGGCTTCAGTGAAGTTTCACAGTAGCAGACTGTTGAATCTATACATCTCAACACCCTTAATAAGATGTTTGAAAGGAATTCTCCACTCACTGAATCATGTAATTCAAAATAAAAACCTTCATTTTCCCTTCTTGTCTTTACAGTTTATTATAATCTTGCCTTAATATTTAAATTCAATATTATTTCCTTTCTAGGGCATTGCTGGAATAACATTTCTCACTGATCAAGGAACAAATTGATCTAATACTAGAGCATCTGTAGGAGTTCTGTAAGAACTGGAATGACAAAGAATTAGTAATTTAAAATAAAGTTATCTTGAGAGCTTTCACTTAATTTCAAGGTAGGAATTATAAATTTGGCATTGTCTATATTTATCAAACTTCCTATTTGCAAATAAATAAATAAATATTTTCTTTAAACCTGTCATCCACTTTTAAGGCGACATGACTAAATGACTAAACTGGAATATAAATAATCAGAGAAGTACTGACTTGTAATCTGATCATTCAAGAACAACTACTTCAGAAACTGTCAAATTGAACCATATAAAACTGCCATTTGGGTAGATAAAAAATGCTCAACTACTGGAAATTTCACTGGTTTGAATTAACATCTGGGAAAACTTCTGTGTAGTTAGTATAAAGAAAGCCATAGAGAAAGTACTTTGGTCTGGGAAGACTCAAGCCCATATCTAAACTATAGCAGGTAACAACAAACAGTAATTTTAGCTCATACAGTATTTGGTAACAGTAGGACTATTAACATGAAACACACAATCATAGAAAGCTTTTTAGATACTCTGAATCACTTTATGTAAGACACCAGAACAAATAAATACAAATTTAATTTAGGCAATAGGCAGAGCACCAATCTTTAACCAGTCTCTGCTAAGTGGTTGATTTTGTAGCAAGTAAACTATCTATGGAGGTCATGCAAGCCAAGTTATTCTGGAGTAGTTCCTTTATCCTTTAAGAACAGACTTTTCAATTAGAATCAAAATTTCTGTGATTTGATGAGAATTTTAGTCTGAGGTATTAAGTGGTAACAAGGAAAAAGGAGGAAAAAATACCCCAGTATTAGTTTCTTAGTAAGTGACCAATTAAGAGGAAAAAAATACATGAAATAAACAATTTTTATGAACCCCCCCCATTCAACTTTCAAAATGACTGCAAAAAACAAAAACAAAAACAAAACTACAAGATCTACTTTGACAAGTGAATAGGTACCAGTTACACATAAGCCAAATAAATCCTTGTTTGCCTCAACCTTACTTAGTTCAAATACTTGTTGCCTCTGGTTATGATGCTTCATTAACATTCTACAACTAAGAAAATAAACTCTTACACTTTAGAGAACTTCACTTCCGTCACCAATTCAATGTACTCTGAAAACCTTCTAATTTAATTGTGCAAGCCTGTAAGTCACACTTTCAGACATGAACACAGGCAGTACAACCAATGATCAGAATAAGCAGAGGAAGTCTCCCAAAACACACACATTTGCTACAGAAGGGGGCACTACACCAGGGGATACCAGTTGGGGAAGTCCTTTTCAAGATCACTCCCAATCCCAATCCCAAGTCTTTGAGGAAGAAGAAATATATGTATATATCCTCTATAAGTAGACAAGTTAGAATGCTTTTGCCAAAAAGGTACAAACTCTTCCTGGCTTTTTATTCTGAAATATCTTCATGAAAATAACCATCAACTCAAAACTTCCTAGCTTTCAGTAATCTTCCTAAAAACCAAGAAGGGAAAAGTCTAGCTCAAAATGTGATTACTATGCCTATCTTTTTAAGCAAATTAACCAAATTTAGTTAAACAAAAAATTCTCTTGAAGTCTCCTAATAACTAATTTAAATTTTTTCCAGGTCTCAAGGAAGAACAAAACTGCTACTTGCAATGATATCAAACAATCATAAATACACACGCATTATGTAATTGCCTGTTTATTTAGTGGCACCAGTTTTGCAAACTAGAAGTTATTTCTACTTTTCATCTCACATACAATCTGCAACCATTCACAGGCTGAATGCAATTTCTTCAGTGGACTTGAAAACAGAAAGTACATTCTTAAAGTTAGAACTGAATTTACATATTTTCTCTGGACCAGGAAATGGTACATAATACAAAATATACATTTATGGAATTCCTTCAAAAGTTTGGGTCACATAAACTGAAAACAGGGCTGAGTTACTATGGAGAATTTGTTATACACTGTGTCTAGAAAAAATATTTCTGCAGTGGTATAATTTTACATTTATAGATTTTTTAAAATGAATCTATATATAACACAACATGCTTTTAACATGTACATGGTCTCTCCACTCAGTATCATTTATACAAATTAAGTGAAATAAATCATGTCAAGAGTGAAACCAAACAGTATTGGGGCATATCACTACAAACAAGATATTTTCCCACAGGTAATGCAGTTGATTTAGTCAAAAGCTAACCATCTAAGACAACAGTTTCTATGTTTCAAAATTCCCATAAATGGGAATTAAATATGCTGTAACTCAACATCCAATTTTGGCAATAAATGCAACAAGCTTATCAATTATATCATGATGGTTATAATGTAGTAGAAATCTTATTAACCCTCTACATTGGTGGCTATGTTAGATCCTATTTCAACATTCTGTATCAGAAAGAAAATACTCAATTCCTTAGAATCTGAAGTGAATTGAATATTTAACAAACTCTAACACCAGGAAGCTCAAAATCTTAAAATGTAACATCTGACAATGAAATGGTTGCTTGTGAACATGTATTTGCACTATGCAGGTCAGAAACATTCCAGAAACAATTTGTTTTACCTCTTTCCTGTTACAAAAGTGGCAAACTTAGAAAAAGTTATTCTCCAAAAGTAGTCCAAATACTGTGTTTTTTCACCTCTACTCACTCACTCTTCTTTTCCCCCAAGTACAACCTTAAAAAAAGATGTTTTAATATCAGACTCTAGCCTAAGCCCCATCCACCTCATCGATCTTTAAAAAAGTGACACAATTCCTTAAAACAGAGTCAATTTTTCTGATGCCCTTTAAGTATTTTTGTATGGGCCCTATTACACTGTGTACGGAATCTTACCCAGGGGTCCATGAACCACTACAATATTGTAAACTTTGGGGAGTTACACACATCATAAGCATTTTCCTGGGTGAGGAAGTTCCTAGGATTCATTAATCTCAAAGGACCTATGACCTTAAAAGGTTAAGAACCAATGCTATAATAATCCTGTGCTGTTCACTACACCAATTAAGATATTAATTTTGTTTTGCAGCTACCTAAACTCCTACACAAATCTAACTTAGTACCATACAAATGCAGTGTTACTAAATGTCTTTTACAGATCAGAAGGACTATGTAAAAAGAAGGGAAAAACTCTAAACAATTTTTCTAAATATTTAGTTCAATGAGAAAGCTATTAGTAGAAAACTAGATTTTGGAGAAATTGAACTGAAGCACAGAGTTCTGTGGTGAAGAAACATGGCATTTATCTTTCCCAGTTGTTTCTACTAAGTTGAAGCAGCAGTAATTTTTATCACTACCTCCTCCTTTGCAGGAAAAATCAAATTATACAAAGAAGCAAGGTTGGTTGGTTCTCACTAGTTTATGTGGCACAACAGCTCTTAATAATATACAGCTGGATCCAAGGCCGACCTTTCTATGGCTTTTAAATTAATAATTCTTCTCTGTCCTTCTCACTGGGATCTCCTCACCACTCCATCTCCCAAATTTTATTTTCAGCCCAGTTTTACATAGTATTAATTGACCTTGGTGAGGTAATCCACTAAGCTTTCTTGTTCAAGAAAATGGAATTGGCCTATTTCAGTTTGAATAAAAGAGAAACTACCAATAGAGTAGTAGAGGAAATGAAGCAACATTTCATGCAGGATAAGGGAGAAAAAATGTCAGTTTGTTGTTTTATCAATTTAAACAACCTTTTCCAGTCATGTAATAAAACTATAAGTTGTCAACTACAATTTCAATACATCTCAGCTCTTCTAAATGGTGTACTCCCACCTGCTGGTAATATTAATTAGGAAACATGAGAGCAGAGGCCACTAGCTTAATATATATAAAGCAGGCAATAGGGAAACAATCTGTGTGGAGGTGAACAAAAGAGAACGTTCACAGGACAAAGCAGGATCAAAGGCCTCTCATTGTTTCTGTACAGCATTCTATCAGTAATGACTAACACTTAACTGAGACTTATTCTAACCAACAAAACCATACAGTATTATAACATTTGGAAAATGTACTTTTAAATATTTCAAACATATTCTGTAGTAATATATAATTTAAAACAGATACAATCCAAAACTCATGGCACATTACTGAAGGAAATAAAGTAAAATTAGGCCTCTAAAATTTTAAGCTATAAAGAAGTCTTTTTCCAGTCTAAACGAAAAACTAGAAAACTAGATCACACTCAAAAAAATGTCATCTCACCAGCAGTATCTGCAAGCAAAAATAAATGAAGCTCTCTAAGGTTCCTTCAAAGAAAAACCTCAAAAGAGAAATATTCATGTACTGAAATATTTACACATTCTTTTCTAATAACAAATCCTAATATAATACTGTACAAATAGTAATCAGAACATTAAAGGCTTAAACGTCTTCAAACTTCATGAATTAAACATATATACTGTGAAATTCAAATTAAAAAAGTAAAACCTGTAACCAATCTCATCAGTTCTTTCAGAAGTCACAAACTCAATTCCTGTATGAATTTGTCCAGTAAACATGGGCAGTGATTTCTAAGAATTAAACTACAGTAATCATTTGGCTAACATTGGATATTAACACTGGTAGTGTGTTTTCAAGAAAAAGAGTTTTACTTAAATAAGATAATTTAGCTACATATATATTATATTTAAGTGCCATAAACTCAAACTCCACCAGTATTTCCAGAGTTGGAGAATTTTAAGAAATCCACTACCTATTCATCTGACTTGGTGGCTGTCAGCAGGAAGAATAAATGCCATTCGTTAAGGGCAATGAAGTATACTGAACAGACTTGAGCCCATCAGTCCAATTTTATTCCTATGTTGAGCAGAATGAGATTTAATGTTAGAGAAGAAAAAAACAGGAGAGTTTTTAAGTGAATAAAGGAAGTACAAACTAGCTCTTTAGGACAGAGACCACCTTGTTCAGGAAAGCATCTGGCAAACAGTGGGTGGGCAGTAACTATTTTTTTTTGGATGAGTGATTCAGTTATAATATTAACACACATTAGATTATAATTCTAACCCAAACTGTAAGCTCCTTGAGGGCAGGGACCTATTTGTTTCTTTATAGTTCCAAGGTGCTTAGCCTAGAACAGTGTTTTGCAGATAACAGTATGTTTTGTGGGAAAGCTGACTTATTAGCTAGATTAATATATGGTCAAACAGATAATCTCTAAAAGTACTGCTATAATTCAGATTATGTGTATTACACAACAGATTTATTCTATAATTCAAATTTCTTAATGTTACAAAGTTAGTAAAAAAAATTAAGTGGCTGGAGTGGTAAACTAATTGCATAGTACTCTAGGAGCAAGTTAATGCATTATAATAAAAAATATGTTTGAAATAGTTTTAAAGCTGAAAAAGAAAAATACCACTCGGATTTTTTTAAAAGTTAATGCTAATAATGAGTACTGCTTCTGTAAAAGTATATTCCTTTAGAAAGTGAAAATTAAGTGAGCTTACCTCTCTAAAACAATAACATCAGCGAAATTTTTTAATGTTAGGGTAACAAGAGTGCTATACAAAATGAATTTCCTATTAAAGGTGGCAAATTGAGTTCATCCTATTAAAACATTTAAATGAAAGTACATTTTGAATAGAATATTATCATCACAGAAGAACTTTATCCCTCCAAACAAAATAACATATACCAAATCAAAAAGTTGAGGCATTGCCCTGAGATGCTAATTTGCACACAAAAGGGGGTGGGAGGTCAAGAATTTAAGTGGTACAAAATGAAGTGCATAATAGAGGTGCAAAAGTGCCTTTTAAAATGTGGTTGGTTCCCCACCATTACCCCCAGGAATTAAGAACACACACAATCCGCTGATATTATGTATACTTCCTGTATATTTATAACGAAAAATTGTATCTAGTATGGCAACGCTAACTCATATGGAAAAGATTTAGTCTTCTTAGATCACACTTAATACTCACTTCCAAGCCTAATTTCAGCATTAATAATTTTAACAGAGGAATATTTTAACTTCCTCTTTTTTATTTAAAGATTCTCAAATAAAAGAGGCTCTAAATATGCTGTTATGGCCTGAAATACAAATTCCCATCACAGATTTTTTTACCTGTGATTTAAGATTTTCCATGTCAAAGTCCAATTCAAGGTTTGAAAATTTCCAGAACTAAAAGCTTCAGTCTACTTAAAAAATTAAGGACCTAACTACTTCTAAGAGGGATTTAGTTTTCAGTATAAGTATGTCTGGTAATTAACTGACACGGGAAGCTCTGGTATTCATTAAATGCACATTTAGATGTTTGCAAAGCCGTAACTTAGAACATTATCATACTTTGCACTCTACCACAGACTTAGACATTAAGCATATATTTGTAAGTATGGAATTTGTTTTGTAATTCCAACTGTTACAAATTTTTAAATATAAATAGCATTTGTTTTCTTCATTCATGCTGGATTAAGATATAAATTAAATACAATTAAGTTACATTTAACTGCCTCACAAATAAGAGGGATAATGAAAATATTTTGCTGGTATGTAACTACTTAAATCAGACATTTTACATTAGTTTTCCCACTACTCCCCTAACTTTACATTAGTTTTAAGGCTATATATACAAATACGTATATTTCCAAGTTAGGGAAAAAACAAAACAAAATTGATTATACTACCTTTTATACACAAAATTTTGACTCTGTATTCAATGTTTTTTAACTTTACATTTTAAAAGTTTTCTAATGGGGAATCTGCCTACTGAATGATTAAATAACATGGTGACAAATACAATATTCAACCTAAAAAGACAAAACACAGAAGGGCACAAAACAGTAGTCTTTTCAATGTGACAAATTTTAAAACTTATTTTCACATGCTTAATCAGAGGAATTTAAGCCTAAATTAAATTAGGTTATTTTTATTTCTACAACTCTTTAAGCTCTGCAAGTTATTTTTAAAGGCCAACAGCTAAATATTATCAACATGCTATATTTCAAATCACAAATATCTTAACTACTTGGACTCTAAAGACACTGGGCCAATTAAAAATCACAGGCAAACACACACACATACTCTTACACACATACACACCTACCATAGTGTTAGATTGTCAAGCTTTGACAATTTAATTAAACAGTAGGCAAATTCAAGCTAATACACATCTTAATGAAGAAATAAGCAGCCAGAAAGAAACCCATGGAAAAAACAGATTAAGGAACAACACAGACTTAAATCTGGTCATCTTTCTAATGGAAGGGAAACAGTTCCATTTATATGCCTTGAATAACAGTATTTTCCAAATAAAAGACTTAACACCTCTCCCCATGAGAAACTTCTCATTTACAATGGCATGGTGTTTTAAAAGGGTGAAGTAAAGGAGGAATTACACATACATGATTAAATTTCTTGTTTGTTAAATCAAGCTTTATTGATAAAATGGAATTCAGAATATCTTACTAGGAACAGCAGCAGGCCCAGCCAATCATGATAGCAAAAACGTGGCAGTTTCCTACTATATGTAGAAAGCTGCTGCTTATCAATTAGTAATTAAATGTAAGGACTTGTAAAAGAGGTGCAAAGAATCAAGGCCTTTTAGCCCCAAGAGCAATATCCTTATGAATATACTGCATTAGCTGCAATACTCATGGCAACAAGGAAAGAACCTAAATGACAGTTGTATGAAGCGACCAGCTTTCTCAACAATGCCAACACTGCCAAGAACATTAAGACAGTTCTCAATTAACTTCCTGGATGTTCAACTTTGCAGCATTTTGGAATTATGCTCCATGATCACGTGCACATCCGAGTGTCTAGCTGACATGGCTGCTGTTCTCCCTGTTTCAACCCCAAGTCCAAACACAACATGACTTGAAAGGGCTATATTATCTGTTGCATCACACAAGCCTAACATTTCTTGTAACTTTGATAGTGATTTAAAGCAGTTCATAATTAAATATGAGTATTTTGTACAAGGACAATTACACTTTGCAAAAAACAAAATCATACAACAAAAATTGCTGGAGTCTGATTTACAACATGAATTATGGTTTGAAATCATGTTTATGTAAGTCTCAAATTTACAAAAAAACAAACAAACAAAAAAAACAGTTCTGGGCTAGCTGTTGTACTGCTGTTCTCTGGTGTCACTCCTACCCATGTCACATGCCCTTCTTTAAAGTTGAGGATGGATGTTTAAAAGGTTCAAGGAAGTTGAGCTGTACTCTCCTTTGGAGGTGAAGGTAAACTCCATGGCTAGATGAGCAGTTTTACCACATATCATCAGTTGATGTAGAGTCCTTTATAAAAGGAAACAAAGCAAAACAAGGGGACTCAATTAAAGCTGAGAGGAGCCAAAATACATTATTTTCTGGATAATGCAGAAAGGTTTTATAAAGTTGATTTTCAGAATATAAACTTTTAAAAAGTATTTGTGTATGGGTGCATATGAAACACCAATATTTAATCTGTTCAAAAGTTGTTAACCCTTGTCTTATCTTGGAATAAAATACTTGAAATAAGGTCTTACCATGAGGTTGACCAAATGCATTTCTAAACTAATAAAACTACTAAAAAGAATTTTATTACTTTCTTCAGTAAAACCCAATTTATTTTTAGAACACTACTACTCACTGCTTTAGAGATTAAGACAAACAACATGACATTTGAAGAGGCTTCAGGAGAGTTCAGAGCCCAAATGATTTGAAGTCACCACTTTCTGTGACTATCATACTGCAACAGAATTGTAACAGGATATACAATTGGAGAATATGGCATTCTAATGTCTGTTTATATAAATAGAACTTCCTAACTTTAATATTTAGATGAAGTATATACTTCAGGGTTCTTGGCAAAGGTTTTTTCAGGCACAAAAAGTGTTCAGTGGAGATGGGCATTCTGAAGTTCTGCTGTGGCTGCTTACAAAGCTCAAAGTAATTCCAGATTCTGAGTAGAGATATTATTCTCCACTTAAAAAATATATATATATAGTGGAGACAAACCTTCTGAAGTTGATTGCTTACAGAGGCTTAAAAAAAAACAAAATAATTCAAAGAGACTTTCTTCTTTTTTCTAAGTGGTGGACACTCACCATGATTATGTCCTGTACTGTGGTGCAGGCACAGCTCAGAGCAATCAAGCAGGGGTGTGTGTAAAGAAAATGGGTACACTGAACAGCTCTATAAAAATAAGGAGGAAGGACACTGCTGGTGGGAATGTAAACTAGTTCAACCACTGTGGAAAGCAATATGGAGGTTCCTCAAAAAACTAAAAATAGAAATACGATTTGATCCGGGAATTCCACTCCTAGGAATTTACCCAAAGAATACAAGTTCTCAGATTAAAAGACGTATGCACCCCTATGTTTACTGCAGCACGATTTACAATAGCCAAGATATGGAAGCAACCTACGTGTCCATCAGTAGATGAATGGATGAAGAAGATGTGGTACATATACACAACGGAATACTATTCAGCCATAAGAAAGAAAGAAATCCTACCATTTGCAACAACATGGATGGAGCTGGAGGGTATTATGCTCAGTGAAATAAGCCAGGCGGAGAAAGACAAATGCCAAATGATTTCCCTCATTTATGGAGTATAACAACAAAGCAAAACTGAAGGAACAAAACAGCAACAAATTCACAAACTCCAAGAAGGGACTAGTGGTTACCAAAGGGGAGTGGTGGGGAAGGGCAGGTGGGGAGGGAGGGAGAAGGGGATTGAGGGGTATTATGATTAGTATACATGCTGTGGGGGATCATGGGGAAGACAGTATAGCACAGAGGAGACAAGTAGTGACTCTGGCATCTTACTACACTGATGGACAGTGAATGCAATTGTGATAGGAGTGGTGGTGGGGACTCGATAATATGGGTGGAATGTAGTAACCACATTGTTTTTCATGTGAAACCTTCATAAGGGTGTATATCAATAACACCTTAATTAAAAAAATGTGAAAAAAAAAAAGAAAACAGGAAGGATATGCATTTAGAGTGGAGAGGAAGGGGAGCAGAGGGATCTAAAATGCTACTTACAGTGTCATCATTTTTGTAAGGATTCAGTCTATTGTAAACGGCTTCAATTACATTCCGCCTAAATTAAAAAAATGCAGAAAGTTAATTCTTCTTCAAAGCACAAAACTCTTTAATAATGCACAGCCAGGTGTTCATTAAAATATCAAAGATAATCTTACACTTAAATATTATTTTAGTCCTATTTTTTACTGTCATTAGCGAGATTCACTTTAAGATATTTGGGCCCTAAAGTTAAGGTACCGGTGAGTTTACTCTAAAATGTAACATTTCATCAACCCAATTAATAAAAGACAAAAGTTCAAAGTGAAAAACTCAGTCTATCTGGTCTACTTATATTTGAACTGGGTTAAGTGGTTATGAGTCAGAAATGACCAAGCAGTTAAGATATGATACTAATATATTCTGGTTAAGAGATGAATGTTAGTTTTGAAGTACAAATAACTTGAACATCTGTTGTAGTAAAATAATTTAGATATACTTTACATTTCTGCTTTTTGTAGTGACCCTTTAAAAAAGCTCTATTAAAACTGAAAAGTCAAATATGACATTTCTCTGACAAGTTCAGGAATTAGTTTTTAAATAATATTTTGTTAAACAAGCTGTAGTGGTATTTATAAGTTACAGCCTCCTTACTTACAAAATTGATTTTAAGTAATTTTATAGACAGTCATTTCACAGGTCATATTGCAAGAAAAGGTTTCCAAGAAATAAAAGCTTCAAACAGGAATTTTTACAATTACTATTTAGTGAACAAATTACAAAGAACATGGCTACATTTAGAGAACACAGTGGAGAATCCAGGAACTTAGTCAATGTATCTTTGTTGGTCAATTATATGGCTAGCTGAGGTAAAAGTATTTTAAGTCTTCAATTATAAAATTGCTTAAAGCCTCCACTTTAGTTTATAAAAATGTATTAATACTTAACACAGGTTAGTCCAGCTGTATGAACAAAAGTGCAAAGATAAAAGACAAGAAATGCATACTCCTATCTGCCCTCAAACCAAAACCCAACCAACAATCAACAACCAAAACAATGAGAAAATCAGAAATGCAGAAAAATGGCCCAGATGGAGGAAGAGAAAGATGCTCATTTCTGGGGTGTTAAATTATCTAGGGTTGACAAAATTAAATTATAGTAGTAATAATAATAATGATACTTAGAACTTCATAGTGCTATGTAATTTTATTTAAAAAATTATTTCACTATATTGTTAATGCTATGAGTATATCAATGTAATCCAAGCCTCCACTAAAGACAGATTTCAGTGTAATTAGTTACAAACAATGACATTCCCATTCTAAATCAGCACCATGTATCATTAATACTGAAAAACGCAACCACAGGTTTGAAAACACATATAATTGCATCATTTTAAATATTAGGTAAATACATTTCATCAACAGACATTTAATATTTTCATGTACTGAGATAAATAGGAAGAGTATGCAGAAGGAAACTTACTTGCTTGCCAATTCACCCCCTGGTGGGAGGCTGGGGATGTTCTCACTTGCTAATGTGCGCATCACATGGACTAAGTCAGGAACGCCTTCCCCCTGCTTCTTTATGATTTCTGGGAATCAGAAGTACTTTTTTTGTAAGTGTTATTCAAATTTAATAATAACTAAAAAAAGAAAAGACTGAAACAAAGATAACTTAGGGTTTTAAAGATGGCATTTACCACATTTGAGATTTTCTAAACTGGTATAGGAAAAAAAGTCAAGTTGACCTTTGAAAATTTATGAAAAAGGGGTGCACAGAATGATACAGGAGATACTTGCCAGATTAACTTCAAAGAATGAAAATAAACAAGATATAAACATGGGGAAAAAAATCCTTATGTTAAAATCAATATATTACATAATCAGGATACATGTATACAAATGAAAATATTCTTCTTAAGATGCCAACTAGCTACTTCTGAGATCAACCCCTCTCTTTAGACTGGAAACATGTTTCATGAACTTTGCCCTGAAAATATACTGTACAGATTTTTAAAAAGATAACAGTTTAACAATTTCAAGATTTGGGGGAAAAATAAGCCCTTTTAGTATAGGGGATTTATTTATTATATACTAACCCAAATCATTTGACAAACATGTTTATATTTGCAAAATAATACTTAAGAAGCATGTACAGATTAGGTTATACACTTGAAAACCACTGTTTAATTTTCATCTAAATATCTTTAAGCAATAAATTGATGCTTCCTTAGTTGATTATTTGAATAAAGCCTATTAAAGGGAAATAAGTCTAAATTCCACAAATTTTAAAAAGAGAAAATCTGATAAATTATGCAACTGCATTTAAAATAATTAATTTCAAAACATCCAGTTATTAAATAGGTATAGTGATATGATCTGCCATGCAGATGCACATTGTTATTTATACCACAGAATACCAACAACTATATATAAAGAACTCAAAGAATTCTCAAACTATTCACTTTAGTACAGTAAGTCTCTACTTGGGAGTTTAGTATATTTATTCTAAATGCAAGATCATGCCAGAGCTATTTGTAAGTTGTATGTTCAAGTTCAGTTCAATTTTTTTTTTAAACGTTTACACTAAGAAATGTCCTTTGTCATAAGTGGGGCAGGAAAATTATCATTTTAGTTCTCAAATTGTAATTATCTTTGAAAATAATACCTATAAAGATCTTCCATCCTTTGACCAAATCTCAAAATATTAATTCATCACTAAAACCAAATATTAAAAGACAGATATTGCCTACCCATATTTCTTTAAATGGCTCAAATTGTTCTTTCAGAATTAGAGCCAAATTTTACCATCTATTTTTTTTTTCCTTTTATTTCTTTTTAAACCAATCTTAAATCTGAACAAAAAGCAAGGATCTCAGATTTGGTTTGCCAAGTTCCTTTATTGTGTAATCTTTAACATCTAATATATTTATTCTACATGGTTCTAATGCTGGGAATCTGCTGTACAAAAATAAAGGGATTTGATTGTTTACCTAAACTGCACAATTTCACAATCTAAAGCTATAATACACTTAACATACAGTCTCTGCTAAGCCAATACAATTATTGGATAGATAACTAGATACAACAGAAATGAACACTGATGATAAATTCAATTAATGATGGTTTCAGGTCTAAAAAAACATTACCTTGAATTATCTATATTTAATGTATCTTACATCTCCTTTATTAAAATATAAATCAGGATATTTTAATTGTGAAGAAAATTACAGGAAAACCAAATCTTAAAAAAAAATGTCAGCTTTAAAAACAGTTATCTCCTATTACACATGGGACAATACATTTAATCTGCCCATTAATACTACACTAGCCTGCTTCCTTCTGCTCTTAAAAAGGAAAAAGAAAAAAGAAACAATTTTAATATTCCTTTAATTGCTCTTGGACAATACATTTTGTGTAGAATTGTGTATGTTTCACATACTCATATATAAACACATACTGCTCCTCCCCACTCCCCTCCACCAAGGCAGAGGGATTTTATCAGTTATCTCCAAATGAGCAACTTTAAGGCTTGGGCACTCAGGAGCGAAGGTTTTAAAAACACACACACACATATTTAATATCAAATTGGCTTAGAAGGACCACAACCTTAAGTGATGGCTTATATTACAAGCTAAATCTTTTCACAACCCTAGAAAGTCAAGTATTTAGAAGGGAACAGATAACAGGAGAGCTGAAAAGCTTTGTCCTTTTCTGTTGGGTGGACAGAGAAGCCAAAAGTATTCAAAGCAAATAAAATGAGGTTTAGTAGGTCACAGTAATTCAGTGAAGGCACGTATTTAAAAAAAGAAAAAAAGAAAGAGAAAGGTATTTGGTGTCTGTTTTGGAAGCTGAATGCAGTATTTTTCACTTTTTAAGACATATAACAACTTTTACAGTGCAAATAATTTACATTCTTTCTATGGTTCAAAATACAGTAGTGGTTTTAATTAATATAATATTTATTCTCTAGTTGCAGTCTCTTCAAATCTACCTCAGTAAAGAATATGTATTTATGACACAATGATGTCCAATTGAATGGTTCAAGTATAACAACACTTCAACATATCAAAAACAGAGTATTAATGTAAACTCTGTTCAGGTGGCAATTCTTGCTTGATAAAAAAAGCAATATAAAACTTAATATTAAAAAAAACTTAATATTGTAATATAAAATCATGTATCTACAGCAATTATTTAGAATTGCATAAAAAACTTAAAGGTATGCACTAAAAAGTAGCGATTCAATTCTAAAATTTGATCCCATTTCATAGTTAATAAAAGTACTTATTCTTATTTCCTTCAATCAATAAGAAAACATGTATTGCCAAGTTAAAGTGCCAATAAATTAAATATCAACTTATCCCAATACATATTCTTACAGTTTCTTATTTTTCCACTAACCAGCAACTTGAAACAGTATGATATGATTTGGTAGCATTCTGAATATTTTACTTTATTATATATAAGTAACTTATATTGAAATGATTCACTTAAAATATATAAATTTCAGGACTGTTGGTAATAGCGAGGAAACAAATTCATTGAGTAGTATGTCCAATGAATGAAATACTATATGGTACATACACATGCTATATATACCACTATCAAGTGGGGGAGAACATTAAAAACAAAAACCAAAATAGCAGCACTAGACAGTACTGAAAATCAAAATCAATCATGATTCTAATATCAGACTGATTATAATTGGTATCAAACAGTAAAAAGGGAGAAAACAAAATTAAAGTGCATATTAATGTTAATGCAGGCACTACAAGATGTATTTGTGTATAGGGTCAATGCTTACATGCTATTAGAGATCTCTGACCTGCAAATTAATGACTTTAGGAGACCCAATGTATTTTAACACTTTTAAAGTCATGTCAAGTTTTCTGCTTAAAGAAACTGCATAATCTATAAGCTTATTGCAATATATGCAGTAAACTGGAATTCTCTGGAGGGACTTAATATTTATCCACGTAGTAGCTGCATCAGAGATCAAATTTTTCAAATATTTAAAAGCATTACTCTTGAGAGTTACAAACATCTAACTGTCTCAAAGTAATTTGCAGAATGACAAATACATTCCTGGAACTCCCAACTTATTCTTGATTTTATCGAACATTTACATTTCTGCCAGGTAAAGACCGAGTATGTCTTCTATTCAGATCTATGTTGTATCAGTGAGGCAGTTTATGACTTAGGCAAGAAGCCTTAAAACCATTTAAAATAAAATTTTTAAAGCTGTGACACATGAACATTGTCAATAACGAGGCTGTGATCTCCAAGTTATTTTAAAAAAAAGTCCTAAAGATCTTAAATTCATAAACACAGCTTTACACAGAATGATGGCATTCAAATTACCACCACCATAAATAATCTGTTTATAATTAAACCACAAATCATACTTCCCTGGCATAAAATACTCATGCAAGTGAGTTTATCAAGAATTTTAAAGCACACAAACACTTTAGCCTTTTTAAACAAAAGTATCCTGAACAGAATGTACAGGCCACACTAGTTACTATTTCTAATATAACTGTGACAGGACGATTGCAAACATCTGAACAGTTACTACAGAAATGCTCTTTCCCACTTTTGTATACTATACACTGGATATCAAAGGCTTGTAAAGATCTAAAAGCTAAAATGTGAAAGTTTGGTTGTGTTGAGGTTTTTCTTTAATAAAGCTACTTATTTTTTGTTAAATGATCCACCTTCTACTCTGCTTTCCAGGTACTTGTCCAGCTCTGCCTCCTTCTTCACTGCTTCTGGTGATACTTTGGGTGCATTTGGAAAACAGATCAGTATCACACTCATGTTGTCTCGACTTCCCTGGGAAGAAAAAAGTTTGAGAAAATATTTGGTTTTCTTTTTGCTTTTCAAAGCCTTGAGAACCTTTATAGCCATGCCAATTATATTATACTTGTTCTAGTGAAAATACATATTTTTTTAAGGAGAAAAAAAAATGCATACGTGGAGGGGACACCCCCACCCCCAACACACATACAGCATATATAGTGTAGAGTATAACCAACACTCCAAAAGACAGGAGAGAAAATCACAGGTTAAATTTTACTGTTACAATCATTTTTAAAAATTTGATAAAATGAAAATATTTCTGAACATTTACTGGTGGCTTACATGAAGTAATACCTACCTAACATAACTACACATACACACACACTTTCATTCAACAAAACAAAATTTTAGTGGTATTCCTTACAACAGGATTTGACCTGTAATTACATGTATACTTGACAAATATACATTTAAAATAAATTACAATGAATTGTGGGCTGATTAATTTGCTTCACAGTAAACAGAAGTATGGAATTCAGAAATATATTTACACACATACATACACATACACAGTTTATATACCAACTTTTAACTTTCATCATTAAAAAAGAAATGGACTAACTTTTATGAGGTACATTCACTTTTAAAGACACATAGGTATTCAAAATGTTGTGAAGCTGACCCTTGAAAAATGTGGGAGTTAGGGGCACCAACCCTCATATGGCCAAATATCCACATGTAACTTTTTGGCTCCCTAAAAACTTAACTACTAGTAGCCTAATGTTGACAGAACTCTTTCTGATAACATACACAGTCTATTAACATGTATTTTGTCTTTGTATTATACACTGTAGTCTTAAAGTAAGCTTGAGAAAAGAAAATTTTTTTAAGTTGTCACAAATCTGCAAAAAAAATTTTCCAATACAGTTACTGGGGGAAAAAAAACATAGAAAAGCAGATCTACGCAGTTCAAACCTGTGTTGTTCAACAGTCAACTGTAATTAAAATACTTGAATCAATGTTGTTGTCCCCACATTCCCCTTCCTATTTGCAAACGGAGTTACCTTTTACATTTGAAGTATTTAATTCCACTATATGGGAAACTGATCCTCTTTCATTAGTTTAAGCAAACCGATACAAAGAATTTAATATTAAAAAGATTCTTGGGGAAAAATGTATAAAATATGACAAGTGGTAAGGTACTGAATAATTTTTAAAATACAGTAGAATGCAGAAGAGATGAAGTGGAATCTGGGTCCTAATTTACTAATAACTGAATCTGACAATTCTCTCAAGAAAAAGGCTTTTAATTTAGCTAACAAGTACTTAACTCTCAAGAGTTACAGAATAAACCCAACAAATAATTGCTCCTTTTAAGCATACCAGAAGGGACAAAGAACATAAGCATCATAGTTTAGTTCTTCCCAAATTCAGAAATTAACAGTATATACACTATTAAGCTGTTGCTCTATTTTTTTTTTAAAAACATATTGGATATTACATAAACTCGATTTGTGTTGGATGTTACATAAGCCTGATTTCTAAGTATGATCAGATTTTAATTAAGATTTTAAGTAGAGCTGGCAGTGTGCATATAAAGCTACAAATAATATTGTTGACTTTCTATATCTACATGCTAAAGGTCACATAATAACCTCAGAAAAGTTATAAAATCAACAACTGTTTAGAAAAAATTCGAAGATTTAATTAATGAGCATTACTGACAAAACAGAACAGTGTGGTAAAAAGAACACTGAACCTAAGGGTTTAGTTTCTAGTCTTAGTGCTGCTACAGAAGAAGTAAAATGTATAATTCTATAGAAGTTATTTTAAACTTCTTTAGGATAGGGAGCAGTATGTATCAAGTACATGCTATTTGCCAAACTAGGCACTTCATATGTAGACGTTAGCTCATTAATTCCTCAACAGTCCTATGAGTTGGATACTGTTATCTCCATTCAATAGCTGACAGGTTAAACAATTTGTTCAAGACTGTAGACTGTAAGAGTTAACAGAAGTAAGCCTTGATTTAAGGTCTGTCTGACTTCCTCACCTGTAAAATAAAGAGGCTGAGCTGGCTCATCTATATGCACAATCCCATCTGATCACTCCCAACAACCCCATGAGACATGGTAATAGTATCTCTTACCTTTTTTACAATTAAATATTTTCCAGATCATTTAAATAATTTACCTGAAGTCATACAGTCTCATTACTAAGTTTCTTCTGACTCCATGTCTGAAGCTATTTGTATTACATCACAACAAATGATCATTAAATTCTCTTTGTTGGTGCTATATTCATTGGACCATAGCCTCAAAGCACTCCCAATCACTACTGCACCACATGGTAAAAATTTTAAAATTCTAATATGCTTTTCACCTCTAGACACTGAGGCCTAATCTTTCCCATCCTTTTTCTTCTAAAGCAAGCATTCTGATATAATATCTTTACCTTTGATAATTTTCTGCAATGTTAAAGGCTCACATAATCATGGTTAATAAAAAAACTAAACATTTTGATTATAACTCCTGCATGTTTGGGTAATGCAAATTGGGTATTTCTAAAAGATGTTCTTATATTTTCATAACTGGTAAAGAGTATCCTGCAATTATGCAAAAACTTATTTCTGAGAATGAATGTTCTAAGATGATTAATTACTATAGGAATTATGATAACATAAAATCATTTCATCTTAAAAAAATGTCTAGCTACCTTATACAAACAGGTGTCGACTACTTCATTGCAAACTTTCTCAAGGTCATCAGTGACTTCAAGTCTGGATCTTACAAAATCACAGAGCTCTTCATTTCCCATAACATCCCAAATACCATCGCATGCAAGGATAATGAACTGATCATCTTCTTCAGATCTTTCAATATCATGGACTTCAGGCTCTGGTGAGACAAGCTGCTCTGTAGGACCCTTCCCATGGACACATTTGTAATCAAAGTCCCCAAGGGCTCTCGATACAGCCAGAGAACCATTCACACGCTGAATCATTACAGAACCACCTGCATTCTGAATTCGTTCTTTTTCCAGCGGATTACTTGGTTTGTGATCTTGTGTGAAGAAGTGAACTTTCCTGTTCCTACAAAGTAAACCTCTTGAGTCTCCACAGTTAATGAAGTAAGTATGTTGAGGAGAAATTAAGACACCCACAGCTGTTGACCCACTTCTATCTGCACCATGTTTCTTCTCTGACATAACTCTCATGTGTTCATCAATCTCCAGAAAGCCTGTTCTGATTCCATTCTTTACGTTTTCCACAGAAGGTGCTCCTGCAGACCCTTTAAAATCCTGGTTATTGGTGATGTGGTCTAACAAATGCTCACAGCAGTATTTGGCAACCTGAGAACCAGCATGCCCATCATACACAGCAAAAAATGACCAAGTTTCAAGTCCACTTGGCAAACCAATCACAGCTGTATGTGCATCCTCCATTTCAACTCGCCAACCTTGCATGCTGCTTAGCCCATAGCGCAACCCATTACCCTGCCCCTGCGCATTATGTTTTTCCATCTTTGGCTTGTCTAAAAATGCTCCCATTATGTCTTGATCCTCTAGGTCTGTAAAGGAAGAGAAACAGGAAAGTTAGTAACTAGCTTGTAAACAAAATACATATCTAACAACCTTTTTAAGAGTGAAGGAGATAGAAAGTTTCAAATATCACAACTCTTGTGATTGGGAGACACTCACCGTATTGCTGATTTGGAACCTGATGTTTAACAAGGAAGAACTGGGGGAGAGAAAGGCCTATCAGGCACTGCTCAGAATGGACAACAGGCAGAGATAACTAAAGGATCAGAACAGAGGTACTGATTGGACACTTTTCCTAAGGCACAACCACTTGAAGTTAAAAGGAGACGTGGCAGTGGCCGTCGGCTTTTATGAACCAGAACAGGCATTCAAGGCTGCATTTGGAACACGTGAATCTCTCACAGAACCTCAGAACTAAGTTATATGTATACACTAATTGAGAAAACCACATGAATTCACAGGACATACCAAAAGCCTACTAATTCAAACAAACATTTTAGTTGAATATTCAGGGTTTTCCAAAGTTTGATTCAGAAGTACCTAAATTTTATTACTACATTAACTTCTGAAAAATGATCTAAATGAGTTAAAAATGATCGATTCCAAATTTGCACACTCCTTCCTTTAAGCCTTTGCTTATGTCAGTCCCCTTAACTGGAATCCCTTGCTTCTCCTCCCTACTTACAGAAAAAAAGTGTACCCTTCCCTAAAAGTCTGGCTCAAATTCTACCTTTTTTTCTAGTTTTTCAGTCTTCAGTAAAGCCAGTAATTTATTAAGTTATTCTAAGTGGTCTAGCCTCATTTTTCCAGTTGCAATGCAATTATATATACATGTAGCAAAGCTTACTACATACAACAAAATTAATCTTTTGTAACCTACTGGTAGTCTATTAATCTAGTGGTAATAACGTACCGTTATTATTGTACTCCAAGATCACCAGATATATATGGTAAAGGAGATCAAAGGGTCTAGGGACAGCGCTGTGAACAAGCCTGAAAGCTCAGCTAATCTACTTCTTTCCCAATAATCAAAATCTAAAACCCCTGTTCTGTAATGGGTCCACACAAGGCAGAAAGACAGCTGGCCAGGATTTAGGTTGCCTTTCCTTGGTAACAGCCTGGGAACACAGAGACTTGGGGTCCGAGCCACCAAATGAGTCACAACTGAACTCAAAGAAATCTGAAAGAAGGATAAAATGAGATTTAATGGAAGTGAAGGGAAAATGGGTAGTGGAAGAAGGGTGCGGAAAAGTACCAAGGTAAATCAGGATGGATTTATGAGACTAGGGGATTGATGATGCTAGTGATGCTAAGCTCTAAGAAGGTGAAAGATAAAGGGGAAGAAAAAATACCCCTTAGGAAGCAGAGTTTCCAGCAACCTGCAACGTTCCCTGACCCTTGCTCTTTTTTTTTTTTACTAGAGCCAAACTAATACACAGGCAGAGAAGTCTGGATAATTGGTATGAAAAAAATATCCGCCTACTCCTTGTCTCCATATTACAAGTCCACTAATGGAAGGCAAATAATGAGAACTAGCCATCAGTCATTCCTTCCGGTGGTATTCATCAGATTACTTTTCAGACACCAAATTGATACTATTGTGGCAAGGTTGAGTGTTTTTCTGGACAAAGGCTAACATAATGATGGCATCTTAATAGATAATGTTTAAGAAATCTGAAACACTATGTTAAATGTTTTATAATCATTACCTCATTCATTCTCAACAACCCTCTAATGTGGGCAAATATCTCCAATTTATAGATGTAAGAACCCTAGTGAGACTGAAGAACTGGGCCATGGTCTCTCAACTGATAAATTTAGAGAAATCAGAACTCTAATTCAAGCCTGCCGGACTCTAAAGCACCATTTACTCAATCATGGCTGTACAAAAGAATTATCTGTGGGCCTTTTGAAAAATTAAGATGAACAAATTTCCAGGGTAGGGTTGGAACCTAGCTATCTGAGTATCTGTGTGAAAGATTAGATGGAATGCCTAGACAGGTAGGTAGAGTTATGACTGAGCCATGGGGAGGTTAAATGATCTGCTGAAGGTCAATTGCAAGTTGTCTCATCTCTGTACCTCAATTCCTTTAGCCAGGCTAAAGGGGAGGATGGAGGTATTACACTTAAGATGTTTGTTACCTACTAATCTAGCATTCTGTATCTGTACAATGGGCATATTAATACTTAAATCTGAATGTTGCTGCAAGGCTTAAATGAGGTAATGGCTGCAAAGCAGTCACACAGTCTGGCAAAAATGAGGACTTAGCAAATCAAATGGAAACTATCTGACTATTATTACATTCCTACATACACAGCCACATCTAGATTCTGACATCACCTGACAGGGCCTTTATTCTCTCCAGTAGAAAAGTCCAGTAGGTATTTTCCAGATATACATAAGAAACTACCAAATAAATGATTGTATTAAGATAAAAAAGGTACATGTTCTAAAAACCCCTACACTTTGGAAAATAGAAATGTAAAAAAGTAACAAACCAAAATCAACCATCTGATAAAATTTTAGGTCTGGCTCCATAGCAAATGTGAAACTAAAGTGAAGGGCAAATTAATAATTCTGTGGCTAGACGTTCACATACTGAAAATAGGCAATTCAGAAATCTTACCTCTTGGGATTCTGAGTAATCTGCAGAATCCTAGTGAAGCAGCCAATTATAGCTACATAAATACAGCAAATGGTTATGTAAAGATTATACTTACCAGAAATTATTTACTTGTAAATACTATGTTTACACAGTCATCTTCCATAAGTGGACTACTAAAGAATATTTTATGTAGTCAAGTTATTAAATTAGCATGTATCTATAAATAGTAAACCCCAAGGGAATTCAATTTGCCCATAAAAGTTCGCTTCTGAGAGAAACTAGTTCTTGCCTAGTCTTAAATCTACTCTGAGCACATGTGGGGTCTTACTACAACCCTAGCGTTTCATTTCTGAACTTTTCAAAAAGTAGTATGACAATCGTAAGACTGAATTCATCTTAGATATAATCAGAAAATTTGATGAACATTTTTTGTCTTTTAAAACCAAACTACTAAACTGAAAAATTCTAAGCCTGGGCCAGGAAGTCATTCATTAAAGTTCAGCCATTGCCTTTTATTAAGCAAAACTGATCTCATAATAATAGCAGTATTGAACCTACCTGGTCATTTGTTTAATCTGCTCAGAATTGCCTTGAATTAAAAAAGAAAAATTAAAAAAAAAAAAAAGCTCCACATAGTCTACTGTTAAATTCTCTAGGCAACATATAGTATATACACTATTAAGCTGTTGCTCTATTTTTTTTTTAAAAACATATTGGATATTACATAAACTCGATTTGTGTTGGATGTTACATAAGCCTGATTTCTAAGTATGATCAGATTTTAATTAAGATTTTAAGTAGAGCTGGCAGTGTGCATATAAAGCTACAAATAATATTATATTGACTTTCTATATCTACATGCTAAAGGTCACATAATAACCTCAGAAAAGTTATAAAATCAACAACTGTTTAGAAAAAATTCGAAGATTTAATTAATGAGCATTACTGACAAAACAGAACAGTGTGGTAAAAAGAACACTGAACCTAAGGGTTTAGTTTCTAGTCTTAGTGCTGCTACAGAAGAAGTAAAATGTATAATTCTATAGAAGTTATTTTAAACTTCTTTAGGATAGGGAGCAGTATGTATCAAGTACATGCTATTTGCCAAACTAGGCACTTCATATGTAGACGTTAGCTCATTAATTCCTCAACAGTCCTATGAGTTGGATACTGTTATCTCCATTCAATAGCTGACAGGTTAAACAATTTGTTCAAGACTGTAGACTGTAAGAGTTAACAGAAGTAAGCCTTGATTTAAGGTCTGTCTGACTTCCTCACCTGTAAAATAAAGAGGCTGAGCTGGCTCATCTATATGCACAATCCCATCTGATCACTCCCAACAACCCCATGAGACATGGTAATAGTATCTCTTACCTTTTTTACAATTAAATATTTTCCAGATCATTTAAATAATTTACCTGAAGTCATACAGTCTCATTACTAAGTTTCTTCTGACTCCATGTCTGAAGCTATTTGTATTACATCACAACAAATGATCATTAAATTCTCTTTGTTGGTGCTATATTCATTGGACCATAGCCTCAAAGCACTCCCAATCACTACTGCACCACATGGTAAAAATTTTAAAATTCTAATATGCTTTTCACCTCTAGACACTGAGGCCTAATCTTTCCCATCCTTTTTCTTCTAAAGCAAGCATTCTGATATAATATCTTTACCTTTGATAATTTTCTGCAATGTTAAAGGCTCACATAATCATGGTTAATAAAAAAACTAAACATTTTGATTATAACTCCTGCATGTTTGGGTAATGCAAATTGGGTATTTCTAAAAGATGTTCTTATATTTTCATAACTGGTAAAGAGTATCCTGCAATTATGCAAAAACTTATTTCTGAGAATGAATGTTCTAAGATGATTAATTACTATAGGAATTATGATAACATAAAATCATTTCATCTTAAAAAAATGTCTAGCTACCTTATACAAACAGGTGTCGACTACTTCATTGCAAACTTTCTCAAGGTCATCAGTGACTTCAAGTCTGGATCTTACAAAATCACAGAGCTCTTCATTTCCCATAACATCCCAAATACCATCGCATGCAAGGATAATGAACTGATCATCTTCTTCAGATCTTTCAATATCATGGACTTCAGGCTCTGGTGAGACAAGCTGCTCTGTAGGACCCTTCCCATGGACACATTTGTAATCAAAGTCCCCAAGGGCTCTCGATACAGCCAGAGAACCATTCACACGCTGAATCATTACAGAACCACCTGCATTCTGAATTCGTTCTTTTTCCAGCGGATTACTTGGTTTGTGATCTTGTGTGAAGAAGTGAACTTTCCTGTTCCTACAAAGTAAACCTCTTGAGTCTCCACAGTTAATGAAGTAAGTATGTTGAGGAGAAATTAAGACACCCACAGCTGTTGACCCACTTCTATCTGCACCATGTTTCTTCTCTGACATAACTCTCATGTGTTCATCAATCTCCAGAAAGCCTGTTCTGATTCCATTCTTTACGTTTTCCACAGAAGGTGCTCCTGCAGACCCTTTAAAATCCTGGTTATTGGTGATGTGGTCTAACAAATGCTCACAGCAGTATTTGGCAACCTGAGAACCAGCATGCCCATCATACACAGCAAAAAATGACCAAGTTTCAAGTCCACTTGGCAAACCAATCACAGCTGTATGTGCATCCTCCATTTCAACTCGCCAACCTTGCATGCTGCTTAGCCCATAGCGCAACCCATTACCCTGCCCCTGCGCATTATGTTTTTCCATCTTTGGCTTGTCTAAAAATGCTCCCATTATGTCTTGATCCTCTAGGTCTGTAAAGGAAGAGAAACAGGAAAGTTAGTAACTAGCTTGTAAACAAAATACATATCTAACAACCTTTTTAAGAGTGAAGGAGATAGAAAGTTTCAAATATCACAACTCTTGTGATTGGGAGACACTCACCGTATTGCTGATTTGGAACCTGATGTTTAACAAGGAAGAACTGGGGGAGAGAAAGGCCTATCAGGCACTGCTCAGAATGGACAACAGGCAGAGATAACTAAAGGATCAGAACAGAGGTACTGATTGGACACTTTTCCTAAGGCACAACCACTTGAAGTTAAAAGGAGACGTGGCAGTGGCCGTCGGCTTTTATGAACCAGAACAGGCATTCAAGGCTGCATTTGGAACACGTGAATCTCTCACAGAACCTCAGAACTAAGTTATATGTATACACTAATTGAGAAAACCACATGAATTCACAGGACATACCAAAAGCCTACTAATTCAAACAAACATTTTAGTTGAATATTCAGGGTTTTCCAAAGTTTGATTCAGAAGTACCTAAATTTTATTACTACATTAACTTCTGAAAAATGATCTAAATGAGTTAAAAATGATCGATTCCAAATTTGCACACTCCTTCCTTTAAGCCTTTGCTTATGTCAGTCCCCTTAACTGGAATCCCTTGCTTCTCCTCCCTACTTACAGAAAAAAAGTGTACCCTTCCCTAAAAGTCTGGCTCAAATTCTACCTTTTTTTCTAGTTTTTCAGTCTTCAGTAAAGCCAGTAATTTATTAAGTTATTCTAAGTGGTCTAGCCTCATTTTTCCAGTTGCAATGCAATTATATATACATGTAGCAAAGCTTACTACATACAACAAAATTAATCTTTTGTAACCTACTGGTAGTCTATTAATCTAGTGGTAATAACGTACCGTTATTATTGTACTCCAAGATCACCAGATATATATGGTAAAGGAGATCAAAGGGTCTAGGGACAGCGCTGTGAACAAGCCTGAAAGCTCAGCTAATCTACTTCTTTCCCAATAATCAAAATCTAAAACCCCTGTTCTGTAATGGGTCCACACAAGGCAGAAAGACAGCTGGCCAGGATTTAGGTTGCCTTTCCTTGGTAACAGCCTGGGAACACAGAGACTTGGGGTCCGAGCCACCAAATGAGTCACAACTGAACTCAAAGAAATCTGAAAGAAGGATAAAATGAGATTTAATGGAAGTGAAGGGAAAATGGGTAGTGGAAGAAGGGTGCGGAAAAGTACCAAGGTAAATCAGGATGGATTTATGAGACTAGGGGATTGATGATGCTAGTGATGCTAAGCTCTAAGAAGGTGAAAGATAAAGGGGAAGAAAAAATACCCCTTAGGAAGCAGAGTTTCCAGCAACCTGCAACGTTCCCTGACCCTTGCTCTTTTTTTTTTTTACTAGAGCCAAACTAATACACAGGCAGAGAAGTCTGGATAATTGGTATGAAAAAAATATCCGCCTACTCCTTGTCTCCATATTACAAGTCCACTAATGGAAGGCAAATAATGAGAACTAGCCATCAGTCATTCCTTCCGGTGGTATTCATCAGATTACTTTTCAGACACCAAATTGATACTATTGTGGCAAGGTTGAGTGTTTTTCTGGACAAAGGCTAACATAATGATGGCATCTTAATAGATAATGTTTAAGAAATCTGAAACACTATGTTAAATGTTTTATAATCATTACCTCATTCATTCTCAACAACCCTCTAATGTGGGCAAATATCTCCAATTTATAGATGTAAGAACCCTAGTGAGACTGAAGAACTGGGCCATGGTCTCTCAACTGATAAATTTAGAGAAATCAGAACTCTAATTCAAGCCTGCCGGACTCTAAAGCACCATTTACTCAATCATGGCTGTACAAAAGAATTATCTGTGGGCCTTTTGAAAAATTAAGATGAACAAATTTCCAGGGTAGGGTTGGAACCTAGCTATCTGAGTATCTGTGTGAAAGATTAGATGGAATGCCTAGACAGGTAGGTAGAGTTATGACTGAGCCATGGGGAGGTTAAATGATCTGCTGAAGGTCAATTGCAAGTTGTCTCATCTCTGTACCTCAATTCCTTTAGCCAGGCTAAAGGGGAGGATGGAGGTATTACACTTAAGATGTTTGTTACCTACTAATCTAGCATTCTGTATCTGTACAATGGGCATATTAATACTTAAATCTGAATGTTGCTGCAAGGCTTAAATGAGGTAATGGCTGCAAAGCAGTCACACAGTCTGGCAAAAATGAGGACTTAGCAAATCAAATGGAAACTATCTGACTATTATTACATTCCTACATACACAGCCACATCTAGATTCTGACATCACCTGACAGGGCCTTTATTCTCTCCAGTAGAAAAGTCCAGTAGGTATTTTCCAGATATACATAAGAAACTACCAAATAAATGATTGTATTAAGATAAAAAAGGTACATGTTCTAAAAACCCCTACACTTTGGAAAATAGAAATGTAAAAAAGTAACAAACCAAAATCAACCATCTGATAAAATTTTAGGTCTGGCTCCATAGCAAATGTGAAACTAAAGTGAAGGGCAAATTAATAATTCTGTGGCTAGACGTTCACATACTGAAAATAGGCAATTCAGAAATCTTACCTCTTGGGATTCTGAGTAATCTGCAGAATCCTAGTGAAGCAGCCAATTATAGCTACATAAATACAGCAAATGGTTATGTAAAGATTATACTTACCAGAAATTATTTACTTGTAAATACTATGTTTACACAGTCATCTTCCATAAGTGGACTACTAAAGAATATTTTATGTAGTCAAGTTATTAAATTAGCATGTATCTATAAATAGTAAACCCCAAGGGAATTCAATTTGCCCATAAAAGTTCGCTTCTGAGAGAAACTAGTTCTTGCCTAGTCTTAAATCTACTCTGAGCACATGTGGGGTCTTACTACAACCCTAGCGTTTCATTTCTGAACTTTTCAAAAAGTAGTATGACAATCGTAAGACTGAATTCATCTTAGATATAATCAGAAAATTTGATGAACATTTTTTGTCTTTTAAAACCAAACTACTAAACTGAAAAATTCTAAGCCTGGGCCAGGAAGTCATTCATTAAAGTTCAGCCATTGCCTTTTATTAAGCAAAACTGATCTCATAATAATAGCAGTATTGAACCTACCTGGTCATTTGTTTAATCTGCTCAGAATTGCCTTGAATTAAAAAAGAAAAATTAAAAAAAAAAAAAAGCTCCACATAGTCTACTGTTAAATTCTCTAGGCAACATATTAACCCTGAAACAGCAAGAGTTATTCAACTGACAGTTTGGGCAGTCCTATAGCAAAAAAATGAAGAATAAAAATCTACAAGGTTTTTTTCTGTTTACCTAGGGACACACCATCTAATACAGAATCCCTCCAGACTTCATAAACAGAAGACAAAATAGACATATGTGAACAGGGTGGAGAAAATTATATTCTCGTAGTAACTGATGTGAGAATTTTTAGGGCAAGCCCTTTTTCTGAGAAACACTACTTTGATCAGGTATGTAAGACGGAAGTAAGAATCAAAATACTCACATAAGAAAAGATCACTGTTAAACAGGCAATTGAAGGAGGATAGATGCTGGTAACTGGAGGACCCTTGTTTGATGAGCACTGAGATAAGGTAGGGTTATAAAAATCAGGGAAGAAAATCTGGAGTAAATAGGCATTAGTAGTAAGAAATCTAAAGGTTGGGGGAGATTCAGAGGAAAAAAGCTTTATACCATATCAAGAGTTGAAGTTCACTGGGGGAAGAGGGGAAAAAATGCAACATTAGTAGCATACGTAGCAGTGTATGTAACAGGGCCCACTCAAGTTATTTGGAGTGGGATGTAAATGCTCTGTTACTCCCAAATCTTTAATATATTCTACATTGTCCAACAAAGCTTATATGTGGACAGACTTTCTAAAGAGGACAAATGGTCAGCTGACCTCTGGAATACACATTTATTAGTGATAGAATATTAAGCAATATATTGCCTAACTGGGGTTCAGTGAAGAAACGTAAGACTCCTTGTAGCTATATTTCTGCAAAAGATAATTTACAGTACACAAACTACTCCTACCTTCCAAAACTATGAGACATGGTTATTCATAATTTATATTTTGTAGTCCAAGGCAGCCATCTCCATGTTATCTACAGTAATGATAAATAATCATATGAAAAAAATTTTATAGCAATTTTTTTGAGGAAAAAAAAGGCTGATCTTTGAGTAATTTTTCTCTCATTTTACCTGAAGTTTCTCATTGATTGTTACTTAAAAAAAATGACTATAAATATTTATATTTACAATTTGATTTTGATAACTTGTATAATTAATCAGAGCCAAAATGTAGAAATTGTGTGTCTAAACCTATTTTGCCAAAGAGAAGGTGCAGAGAAATAGAATGATTTGCCCAAGGTCACACGGCTAGTTCAACAGTAAGGCTGAGAATAGGACCCAAGTTTCAAGACTTGTACTTAAAATTCTCCTATACATGCTATTCTGTACACTTGCAACAAATAATGGAAATCTAAAAACACAAGCTTTTTAAAGAAATATGCAAGGCAGATAGGTAGGGAAGATTGTGGCAGAATAAAGCTGAAAGTTCCTTTAGTGCTATTCTTCCTCTGCCTACACTACATTAATTTGCTTTTTAAATTGAACTGCCAGAGATCACACACACACACACACAGAAAGTAAAGAAAAAAGGGAAGGTAAGTTAAAAAGAAAAGAAGAAAGGCAAAAAAACCTCAATTTTCTTTTTTGTTTGGGACTGAAAGAAAACAACAGTGAACTAACTGCAATTTCTGGCAAAGCCCATCACAAATACTCAGTCTAAATGAAATATAATAATGAACAAAGAAAAACAAGAAGCTATATTTTTAAAGAATCGTAAGTTAAAGCAGGGGCGGGGGGGGGGGGGG